CAAACTCGTAGTCGCAGTCGTTTCGTAGTGGTAGTAGTAGTAATAGTCGCAGTTTGTACAGTAGTAGTAGTAGTAGTAGTAGTAGTAGTAGTAGTCGTAGTAGTAGTAGTAATAGTAGTAGAAGTAGTAGTAGAAGTAGTAGTAGTAGTAGTAGGGGTAGTAGTAGTAGTCGTAGTAGTAGTCGTAGTAGTACTAGTAATACTAGTAGTAGTAGTAGTAGTAGTAGTAGTAGTAGTAGTAGTAGTAGTACGTAGTCAGTAGCGTAGTAGTAGCAGTAGCAGTAGTCGTAGTAGTCGTAGTAGTAGTAGTAGTAGTAGTAGTAGTAGTAGTAGTAGTAGTACTAGTACTAGTAGTAGTAGTAGTAGTAGTAGTAGTAGTAGTACTACTAGTAATAGTAGTCGTCGTGGTTGTAGTAGTCGTAGTCCTGGTAGTAGTAGTACTAGTAGTAGTAGTAGTAGCAGCAGCAGCAGTAGTAGTAGTAGTAGTAGGAGTAGGAGTAGGAGTAGGAGTAGGAGTAGTAGTAGTAGTAGTAGTAGTAGTAGTAGTAGTAGTAATAGTAGTGGTAGTAGTAGTAGTAGTAGTAGCAGTAGCAGCAGTAGTAGTAGTAGTAGTAATAGTGGTAGTAAAAGTAGTCGTAGTCGTGGTATTAGCAGTCGTAGTAGTAGTGGTGATTGTAGTAGTCGTCGTCGTAGTAGGAGTAGTTGTAGCGGCAGTTGTGTTAGTAGGTGCAGCGGTAGTGGTAGTTGTGGTGGTAGTAGTGGTAGTTGTCGTAGTCGTAGTCGTGGTCGTAGTCGTAGTCGTCGCAGTAGTACTGGTAGCTGTGGTTTTCACAATATTTGGTTGTATCGATGATATTTGGAAGGGGGAGGGGAGGAGGAGGAGCATGAGGACGAAGGCGATGAATGGCGATGTGCCGGAGGAAGGGGCCGACGGGGTTCGGGGGCAAACAGTGCGCAAACAACATCACCAACGCAACAACAAAAACAAACCGCACCGCATCCACTTCAGCCAAGCACCCAGGGACAGTGAATGACCCTTCGGCCCCCTCACCCTGATATATCAGACTGCCCCAATACAGAGCAGAAGGAACACAGAATTCCTCAGGACCTCAGGGCGCTCCACTTCGTGTCACGAGGCACGGTGGCGGATTAAGGAGGAGCGGCCAGATTACGTCTCTGGCGTTCGGAGTACGCGCAAATTGGACGTTGTGGGCCAACAGAAGGCTGACTCCTATCTGAGGAACATGCTCCGTGATATCGCTGACAAGAATAATACCGTTGACAGTTGTCGTTTGGATGCTCTTCTCACGTTCGCTACAACAGTTTCGGCTTGTTGGCCAGATAACTCCGACATCGTTGCATCGCGTCAGAAGTTGCAGGTGTTGCAGCGGGAGCTTAAGAGCTCAACTATGAAAGCTTCCATGGTCAGTGCCGCCGAGCTTTGCGAAGCGAGCCCTGGCGACACCGACAATTATGAGGAGATGCACCGTTTGGTTTGCGATGCTGCGGGCGCCCAGCTCGCGCCTGAGGAGGCTGCTGGCATCGTCGGTTCCATGGCCGCGTGTCTCCGCTACCTCTGCAGTGACAACTCTGGCCAGGACATCTCCGCAGACGATCGCCGCATCCATATCGTGAGTGAGGTCGCCAGTTTCCTCGGGCCAGCGGGCGAAACTGTCGTCGAGCAGGTGGGCGCGCTCCGCCTGTTCGTCGGGATGAAGGCCTTTTGCGCACGCAACATGCTATCGCCCTTCGATGCCCATTGCTCTTTTTCAGCTCCATGCGGCAGCCAGCACCTGGGCAGAGAGTGCGCGACATATCGCGCCTCGTGGTCCCAGGAAGCCTTCACATGTGACTCGCTTGTGGTCGGAATGCAGAAGATTCGGGAATGCGCAAACGTGTAACGACAACGCACAGGACATTCACGAGTTGAGCGTCCCAGTTCCCGCCGAGAGACTCTTCAGGACTTTCGTGGATTTTTATTGTTGGTCCGTTTGGAAACCGAGCCGAGCCGTTGTGGGCCAGCGTTGTGCTGTCTCGGTGCCCATGTGCGCCGTTTTCGAGGCATCTTGGGCCATCTTGGCGGCCTTCGTGGCCTACTTGGGCCGCGCTGGAAACCATCAGGGGCGCTGGGGCGGCCTGGGCGCCTCGGGGAACGCCAGGGGGCGTCTTGGCCTCCAGGGGCATTCGGGGGAACCGACGCAGGCGTCCCTAGGCAGCGGGGCGCCCCCTGACAAGAACGCGAAAACACTGCAAAACAACACTTGGTATTCTGGCGGATCCGTCGCATTAGCTGCTCGTGCCGGACCGTGCCCCCCCCCTGCTTCCCGACCCCTTCCCTCGGCCTGGGTTCCCTCCCTGATTCTCTGCCCATGCGGCCCGTACTTCAGCAGTGCTAATTGTGTTATCCTTCGCCCCGCGCCTCCTCTTCCTCCTGCTCCTCCTCCTGCTCCTCCTCCTCCTCCTGCTCCTCCTCCTCCTCCTCCTGCTCCTCCTCCTCCTTCTACGTTACCAATACGTAGGACGAGAATGCGGTGACATTAACCCGGCCGGCCTTCGCCGAGAGTGCGGTGACATTAACGCGGCCAGCCAAACGAGCATGATCGTTCTTTGTTGTGAAACAAACGGTCAGGCCTCTCGAGGGCTCCAAGAGAAAATCTCCCTCCTCCGCTTTCGTTCGCATTTGCGGGCCGCGTTTCGTGACGTGTTCGTTGCGTGCTGCCGCTTGTGACAGATTGTTCATCGGCTGCCGCGGACGCCAGTCGGGCCGTTTGTCTCGCCAGCGTGGCCGAAACTCGGTGCGAACATTCGCGCAGTCATTCGGGTTGTCGTGCGCGGTTTTCGCGGGGGCGCGTGGCACGTGTAAGTCCTGCTTTGTGTTGCCAAGCGTGAGGTGCTCCTGCCAAAACTGATAATGGTGGGCGGCCAAAGATGGTTGATCCAGTATCTAGCCGTGCGATTGGGGGCCCATCAAATGCCTTTGGGTAGCTCCAGGGGCAGCCCAAAATGAAAGTCTGCATTGAAGATCTCCACGTTGGGGCCCCGCGCGGGCTCCAAGCGGGCCCCCAGAGGGCCCAAAGAGTGCGCCTGGGGGCTCCAGGAGCAGCCGCGCGGTCTGACGTCATGCCCGGTGTCGTGACGTACGTGCTGTAGCCCTAACGCCCGTCGTCATGTGTGCATGTCGGGGCCGTCAGTAAGTGCATGTAGTGGGCGTGAGAGCTTGCACCGCAGATGCATGCGTTAACTGCACAGCGTGTCTGAGCATAGTGCCACCCCCCCACTTCGTTTGCAATAGCCTGCATCGCCGATGCCGTTAACACACTGTCCACTCACACTCCGTCTGTATGCACATGTAATGGGCACGGTCGTTGCACCGAAGATGCATACGTCCACTGCACAACTGCACAACGTGTCTGCACACTCCCCCCCCCGCACACACTCCGTCTGCAAGCGCGTGTGGGCCCCGCTGCCACTGCGCAGCGTGTCTGCACATATTGTCCCCCCGCACTCCGTCTTCAAGTACATGTGGGCCATGGGCGGTGAGCAGTGTGTGCGTCATACCTGATGTCGTGGTGAACATTTTATAGCGATGATACCCGACGTCATATGTGAATGTCGGGGCCGTCAGTAAGTACATATTATGGGCGCTATAGTTTGCACACCAGGTGCACGCTTCCATTGCGCAGCGTGTCGGCGCATACTGTGCCACCACACTCCGCCTGCAAGTACTTGTGGACCCCGCGTCCGCTGCCTTCCCACTCTGTTTGGTACGTTCTCTCCTCTTGCTCGCCCCTGCTGCCGCGCGTCGGCTGCGCCGACTGTTCGGCGCGAGGCCGCTCTGACCAAGTACCTCGGCCTCGGCGATCATGCGGAAGCTCGGGCGGCCGCGGACGGGCGGTCCGAACAGCTGCTCGGCCTCATGTCGGAAAGGGATGCGTACGAGGCGAAGGTGTCGGACTTCATCTCCCCTGACCCTCCCTCTTGGATCTAATGGCCTTCGGCCCATTCCGCCACCGTGCCTGGGTTGTGGTGTGAAGCCTATTGGATGTTCGTTGGGATATCGTGGGAAACCTCTCGGGGGCCTCTAGGAGGTTGTTTTGGGGCGTCTTGGGAGCCGTTTTGGGGCTGCTTTTGGGCCTCTCGGGAAACTCTTTTGGGCCTCATGGAGGCCCTTGGGGCCTCTTAGGCGCCTCTTGGGGCCTCCTGGAGGGCCCTTGGGACGGGAAAGCTTGGATTTTCGGCGCATGTTCCCTATCTGGGGCCCCTTTGGGGGCCGTTTCGGGGCCCTCTTGGGCCGTCTTGGGGCGATCTCAAGCCGCTGGGGCCTTCCTGGGGGCCTCTTGGGCAGTCTCGGGGTGGTTTGGGGGGCCTCTTGGGCCGTCTTAGAACGTCGGTAGCTCGAAAGACCGAGGGCCCCATAATAGTTTCAAAGCCGGTGGACATCACGGATTTGGCCTTCTCGGAGTCCTCTTGGGGGGGCTCTGGGGTTTGCTTCGGGCGCTTCGGATGCCTATTGGGCCGTCATGGGGCCATTTTGGGCGTTTTGGTGCGGTCTCGGGGCGTTTCGGGGCCCGCTTGGACCGTCTCGGGAGCCTCTCGGGGCCCTCTTGCCCCGTCTTGGGGCCCGCTCGGCCCCGAACAAATCGCGCGGGAAGGTGCGCCAGGACCCAAGAGAACCCCGAACGTATTCGAGAATTTGGGGACTAGGTCTTGGGGGCCCTCAAAGGCTCCTAAGGGGCGCTTCAAGGATTAGGCAAAGGACCTCGGGACACGCCATTTCCGTACCCAACGGCGCGGTGGTGGATTTTTGCCCCAGCCATCCTGTGATGTTGGGTCTTCGTTTTGCCCCGCCCTCCCACTTCCCACCCCTGCCTGTGCTCTCCGCGTGCTCACCACTTTGGCGCGCCCTTCGCGCGCTTCGTGGCCACGTAGTGAGCTCCGCCGGGGGCCCCACTGGCAGGGCCCATATGGCGGACTCGGGCCCGTTCGGCACATAGGGAACTCCACCGAACGGTGCTGAATTGGGTTTTTGTCATCGGGTTTTGGAGTGCAACATCGCCCCCGTTGTATCAACTGCATCAGCGGCATGCCGCCGCCGCGCGCGCGCTCGTTGGCGATTGGCATTTTTGCAGTCCGTATCGTATATCCACATGAGGATGATCCCGTCTTCCGATCAGAGAATATTTTTCAACATTGGGTTTGCGCCATGAGGATGATCCCGTCTTCCGATCAGAGAACGATTTTTTTACATTGGGTTTGCGCCTTTGGGTTTGGGAGATCCAATTGGGCCCCGTTGTGTAAAATCTATCAGCGGCATGCCGCCGCCGCGCGCGCCAAATTTTCGCCCCGTTGTACAACATCTATCAGCGGCGTGCCGCCGTCGAGGGCGGGCGCGGCGGCAGACGGCAGACGGCGTATGTCGTGACATGCACAAGTAAGTCTGGTACACCGCCCCACGCACAACGAGCACCACTGGAATTACCCAAAATCATCTACAGGCAAGCAGCACCTGTGTACTGTGTCTGCACCTGTTCCCTGCTTCACAATCGTGATGCGCTTTGTCTGCGCGAATATTTATTGTGAGCCATACGGATCTGCACATGCACAAGTACATGTGGTAAGAGACCAGCGTATGTCGTGATGAGGTTGCCTTGGCGCCGTCGGTTTCCTCACATACATGTTGAATAATGAACACGCACGTGTATATTACGTGGCGATGCCGTGATAGTGTGCACGCAGTGAGTACATATCCACCGTGATGTATGTCGGGGGCCAGGTTATCTCGGCACCACCGGTGCGTGTCCAATCAGTCCTCCTCTGCACAAGTATATGTCGTGACGTTCGCGTGTGAATATCGTGCTATATGTCGGCCAGCCCCTGTTTGATGAGGTTGCCTTGACACCGTCGGTTTCCTCACATACACGTGTGAATGATGAGCACGTACTTGTACATTGCGTGGCGATGCCGTCATAGTGTGCACGCAGTGGGTACATATGTGATACCGTGATTTATGTCGGGAGCCATACTGGGCTTGCACCACCGCTGTTGGTTCAAATGATGAGCACGTGATACCAGTGCTAGTACCCGCACGTACCCCCTTCAATTCCCGATGTAACAGTTGTAGTACCTGTACGTACCCCCTTAAATTCCCGATGTATTCAGTCCTCCTCTGCACAAGTATCTGTCGTAACGTACGCGTGTGAATACCATGCTATATGTCGGTCAGCCCCTGTCTGATGAGGTTTCCTTGGCGCCGTCGGTTTCCTCACATACACGTGTGACTGATGAGCACGTACATGTACAGACCCTGTCTGATGAGGTTGCCTGGGCGCTCCAGCGCCTCGCGGAACCCTTCCCCCAGATTCAGGGCAGGGGGTAGGGGAGGGTCAAGGCTCCTTCCCCGCCCGAAGCCGTCTCGCGCACTCCCACCCGCCCTGCCAACACATACGTGGCACCCGAGCCTGGCCCGAGCCGCAGCATATTCAGCATTCGTCTTTGGATGGGCACCTATTGGGGGCGAATCCGCCTCCGCCGCCGCCTCGGCCGCCGCCGCCGCCCGCCGCCGCCGCCGCCGCCGCGCCGCTCGCTGTCGCTGTTTGGGGCCACCGTCGTCGTCGTCACCGTCGTCGTCGCCGTCGCTGTTGGGGGCCACCGTCGTCGTCGTCGTCGTCGTCGCCGTCGTCGTCGCCGTCGCTGATGTTGGGGGCCACCGTCGCCGTCGCCGTCGACGCCGCCGTCGCGGTTGGGGGTCTCCGTCGTCGTAATCGCCGTCGTCGCCGCCGCTGCTGTATGGAACCACTGTCATCGCCACCGCCGCTGTTGGCGGCCACAGTCGACGGCGCCGTCGTCACGGCCGCTGCCTTTGTGGGCCACCGCCGTCGTCGCCGCCGTCGTGGACGCCGTCGCTGTTGGGGATAACCGTCGCCGTCGCCGTCGTCGCCGCCGCCACTGTTGGGGGCCATCGTCGCCGTCGCCGTCGTCGCCGCCGCCGCTGTTTGGGGCCGCCACCGTCGTCGTCGTCGCCGTCGTCGTCGCCGCCGCTGTTGGGCGCCACCGTCGTCGTCGTCCTTGTCGTCGTCGCCGTCGCTGTTGGGGGCCAGGGTCGTCGTCCGCGTCGTCGTCGCCGTCGCTGTTGGGGGCCAGGGTCGTCGTCTTCGTCGCCGTCGTCACCGCCGACGCTGTTGGTGGCCACAGTCGTCGTCGCCGTCGTCGCCGCCACTGCCGTTGGGAACCACCACCGTCGCCGTCGTCGTCGTCGTCGTCGTCGTCGTCGTCGTCGTCGTCGTCGACGTCGCTGTTGACTGCCATCGTCGCCGTCGCCGTCGCTGGCGGTGTTAGGGTCCACCGTCGTCGTCACCGTCACCGTCCTCGTCGCCGACGCTGTCGGAGACCACCGTCGTCGTCGTCGTCGCCGTCGTCACCGCCACCGCTGCTGGGGGCCATCGTCGTCGCCGTCGTCGTCGCCGTCGCTGTTTGGGGCCACCGTCGTCGTCGTCGTCGTCCCCGTCGTCGTAATCGCCACTGTTGGGGCCACCGTCGTCGTCGTCGTCGTCGTCGTCGTCGCCGTCGTTGTTGGGGGCCACCGTCGTCGTCGTCACCGTCGTCGTCGCCGTCGCTGTTGTGGGCCACCGTCGTCGTCGTCATCGTCGTCGTCGCCGTCGCTGTTTGGGGCAACCGCCGTCGTCATAGTCGTCGTCGTCGTCGCCGTCGCTTTTGGGGGCCACCGTCGCCGTCGTCGCCGTCGCCAGTGTTGGGGGCCGCCGTCGTCGTCGCCGTCGTCACCGCAGCCGCTGCTGTTGGGAACCACCGTCGTCGCAACCGTCGCTGTTGGGGGCCACCGTCGTCGTCGTCGCCGTCGTCACCGCCGCTGCTGTTGTGGGCCCCTGTCGTCGTCGTCGTTGATAACCACCGTCGCCGCCGCCGCCACCGTTGGGAACCACCGTCGTCGTCGTCGTCGTCGCCGTCGTCGCGCCGCTCCTGCGGGGGGCCACCGTCGTCGTCGTCGTCGCCGTCGCTGTTGGGAGCCACCGTCGTCGTCGTCACTGTCGTCGTCGCCGTCGCTGTTGGGGGCCACCGTCGTCGTCGTCGCCGCCGTCGTCCTCGTCGCCCTCGCTGTTGGGTCGTCGTCGTCGCCGTCGTCGTCGCCGTCGCTGTTGGGGGCCACCGCTGTCGTCGTCGCCGTCATCGGCGCCGCTGCTGTTGGGGGCCACCATCGTCGTCGTCACCGTCGTCGTCGTCACCGTCGTCGTCGTCGTCGTCGTCGTCGTCGTCGTCGTCGTCGTCGTCGTCGTCGTCGTCGTCGTCGTCGTCGTCGTCGTCCGTCGTCATCGATGTGCTGTGCCGTGCCATGTGCTTACTGTGCCGCGCCGCGCGCCATGCCGTGCGCATATCGTGCTGTGCAATGCGCGCGACGTGCCGCTCGTGCGACGTGCGGTGCTGTGCCGTGCGAGCGTTTGCGCTCGTTGCGCTGTGCCGCGAATTGCGCGTGGTGTCCGCGCGTGCGTCGCGCCGTGTCGTGTTTGCGTGGTGCTTGGCGCTAGCATTCAATGCCGTGTCAGGCCGTGCGCGTGCCAGACCGCCATGCCGCGCCGTGTCGCGCTGCACCGTGCCGTGACACGCGGTCGCTGAGCCTTGCGCGCATTGTGCCGCGCCGCGCGCGATGTGCCACAAGCGTGCCGTGCCATGCCGCGCGGGCAACGTGCCGCTCTTGTGCCGTGCCGCTTTCGCGCCGTGCCGCGCCGCGTCGTGCTGTGCCGCGCGCGCTGCGGTGTTCAGGGATCGTCTAGGCCTCCAAGATGGGGTCGGAGTAGGTGGTGTCGGAAGATCGCGTCTCCACGCCGACGTCGCCGATGCATCGCCGACGTCGACGATGCTTCGCTGGTGCATCACCGATACATTGCCTATGTATCGCCGATGTATCGGCGATGCAGCGCGATCCTCCGACACAATCTACCCCGACCCCATCCAAGAGGCATCTAGTTCGTGTGCCATTTAAGCTGCCGTACCTTGTCGGGGCAACCCCAGGTGAAGAACGCGGGCTCGGACCTCCTCGATGGGCTGCCCGCCGATGTCGGCGCGACCGTGGCCCGCGCGAGCGAGGTCATCGACGTGGCCTCGCGCGCTATTGTCTCCAAGGCGGCGGTCGAGCTGGACAGGGCCGTCAAGGTGTGCGAGAGCCGTCTGGTGTTCAAGGAGGACGAGGCGGGGAACACAGATTGGCCGTCGATCGCGGCCACGTGCGAGAGCGACGGGCAGGTTGTCCAGGCCGCACAGGGGAGGATCCTGAACGTCGACCCCGACGTGCTGTTTCAGGAGATGACGGCGCTAGATGACGGGCTCCGTGCGCAAGGGTTGCAATTGCGCCGCCCCGTCTGTCTGCCATTTTTTTTTGTTTTTATTATTTTGTGCGTGATTCCTCCCCCCCCGTCCTCCTCTTCCCTTTCCTCTTTCTCCTCCTCCTGTATTCTCCACCTCGAATGTGTGACATATGGTGATCGTTCGTGATAGCACTATCTACAGTCGCGCCACGATGCACCGCAGAGCAAACGCACCAGATAATGCATCCCCACTTATTCCCTCTCCTTTTGCCCCGTATCCTCGTCTCCTCTCCGTGCCTGCCTTCCTTCTCCTTTCCCTTCTTTTTTTCTGCCTGCGCCTTGCGTCTTTCCCCAATCCCGCCCCGCCCTGGCGAGGGTCCCGGGCGGGGCGCGGGCGGGGCGGGGCGGCGCAATCGGCCTCCGCCAGGCGCGTATGCGAACGCCACCGACACTTTCTCTATCAAAGGCGACGACCAGAAGGCGTCCCACGCGAGCAACATCAGTTTCTTGTGCGGAGTGCTGAGGAGTGAGATCCTGGTCGTCGGGCTCCATGACAGTTCTCGTTACGACGCTCAGACTAAGAAGAACAAGACGCACAGCATCCAGAAATTGGTCGGCAAGGATTCGTGGGGGAAGATGACGCCGCAGGTGTCGTCCATCGCAAAAATCCTGAAGAAGGGGATGTGAGTAGCCGGGGGTTTTGCGGCGACAGTGCGCTCAGTGTTCGTGCCGCCGCTTCGCCAACAGCTCCAAACGCAACATAATGGCCTTCGGTCCATCCCGCCGCCGTGCCTGGGTTGTGGGTCCGAGAGTTGTTGGGCGTTCGCATGGGATATCATGGCGCGATTCGGGTGTGGGAAGCAATTTGGGGCGCCTCTTGGGCTTCGTTTGGCCCGCTTTGGAGGCTCTTGGCGCGTTCTGGCGGCCTCGCGGGGGCCTCCTGGTGACCTTTCGGACCCGAAGGCCGACCTTCCGGCTGGTGTTCCCTGTTGGACTCTTCTAGGGGGCGCCTTGTGGCTCTCAGGCCGTCCTGGGTGCCTTTTGGGCCGTGTTGGGGCCCTCTTGGGCTGTCATGCGGTCCTTTTGGGTTTTTCTTTGGCCGTCATGGGGCCGTATTGGGCGCGCCTTGGGCTGCGATGTAGTTTCGGGGGTTGGAAAAGCCGAGAAGCCCCCAAACTGCTGAGACTGTTTAAAATTTTCAGAAGAGGCCCCAGGTCCATGATTTCTGCGTCGTGCGTTCCTCGCGCGCCTCCTCTTGGAGTGTCTCGCAATTTTCTTGGGCCGTCTTGGAGCCATCTTGGCCATCTTGGACCGATCGCTCGGCGACTCGCTTCCCTAGTGGATCGTTTGGGGGGGCCTGTCTGGGTTGCCCTGGCCAGTCTCGGAGCCCTCCTGGGCCAGGCGCAGACGCATTTCGGCAAGGCTCGGTTCGCAGGAAGTCCCTGACTAGATGTGGGTTGCGGGCGCAAGCCCTTTCGAACAACTTTCTGGGTTGAGGACCAGCGTTCCGAGGATTGGCAAGGGGCCGAAGGGCGCTCCAACTCGTTCCTGCTGGCCCGGCGCGGCACGGTGGCGGACGCCACAGCAACATCACACGCAACAGCACCACGACCAATAGACTATTTTCGTCGACGCCCGTGGCGTCTCCAGCGAAGCAGGGCTGGCCATTTCTCCAGGCGCTCGCAGGTTCAGCGAAGCGCTGTTCGCTCGAAGTTGCCTCTCTGAGCTCGGTTTTCGCGTCCCGCGGGGCCTCCCTCCTGTCCCGCCCGCCCCTGCCCCCCCCATCCGCCCGCCCCCTCCCCTCCCCGCCTCCCCGCGCCCGCCGCCCCCCTTCCCATCCCCTTCCCCTCTTTCGCCGCGGTGATGCGCGTTCTGCAGGGCGCCCTCGCAGAGTCAGCGACGCACTCTTCCTCAGAGGTCGGCCCCTCTGTGAAAATGGTATTCCCGTTCTCCTCTTCTCCGTTCTTCCTAATATTCTTTACGCTTCGCGTGTCCCCACCAGCCCATCTCACAGCAGCAACTCTTGCGAAGCATGCCGACAGTCGTGTTTTTCAGGCGTGTGTCCGCTTGGCCCCGCATATCTCCCCTGTTCCTCCTTCCTCCCGCCTCCTTGTACATCCTCCTTGTGGGGGGGAGCGGGAGAAGGACGAGGCGGAGGAGGAGGGAGAGAAAGCGCTCCTCGTGATTTGAGTCGTTTGGGGTTTCTCGTCCTGGTGTGAGTCGTTCGGGCCCTTCTTCCTGGTGTGAGTCGTTCGGGCTCTTCGTGGTGTGAGTCGTTCGGGCTCTTCGTCCTGGTGTGAGTCGTTCGGGCTTCTCGTGGTGTGAGTTGTTCGGGCCCCTCGTCCTGGTGTGAGTCGTTCGGGCCCCTCCTCCTGGTGTGACTCGTTCGGGCTCCTCGTGGTGTGAGTCGTTCGGGGCCCGCGTCGTGGTGTGAGTCGTTCGGGCTCCTCGTGGTGTGAGTCGTTCGGGCGCCTCGTCCTGGTGTGAGTCGTTCGGGCCCCTCCTTGTGGTGTGAGTCGTTCGGGCTCTTCGTGGTGTGAGTCGTTCGGGCCCTTCGTCCTGGTGTGAGTCGTTCGGGCTCCTCGTGGGGCCTCTTGAGGGCCTCTTGGGGGCCTCTTGGAGCCTCTTCGGGGCCTCTTGGGGGCCTCTTGGGGGCCTCTTGGGGGCCTCTTGGGGCCTCTTGGGGGCCTCTTGGGGACCTCTAGGGGCCTCTGGGGGGCCTCTTGGGGGCCTCCTGGAGGCCTCTTGGGACCCTCCCGGGGGCCTCTTGGGGCCATCTTGGGGTCTCTTGCGACCTCCTCAGAAGCGCTAGTAAGCGCTGACCCCTGAGAAGGACAAAATGAACCCAAAACCTTCGTAAAAAAATGATTCTGCTATGAAGGAAGAGGAACGCGGCCCCCTCAGAAGGCCAAAGTGGGGCCGAAACCGTAGTTAAATCAATGTTTTTGGCTTCAACGACGAATTCAGGCGCCAAACTCCCTCCCCCCCCTCGGGGCCAGAATCCTCGTGAGGGTCGTCGTTTTTTGGCCCTCCCAGGAGTCGAAAAAGACCCCTCCAACGACCCGCGGGGCGCCCTCTCCAGGCCCAGGGGGAGGGGGTAGGGGTAGGGGGAGGGGTAAACCCCTCCCCGGAGGGGAAGAAGGAGGGTTGAGGACAGAGAGAGCTCGCTAAACCACTCACGCCCACAGGGCTCGTGGGATTCCAGACGTTTCGCGTGTCCCCAGTAGCCTATCCAGAAACGGTGCCGAGGCGAATTGGTTTGATCCGATATGTGCGGTACCACGCTGTAGGGCAAATCTAGTGGCAACTGGTATCTCCGTGAAGGAGGCAGACGAAGGAGAGCGCGGACGAGGAAACTGAAGGGGATGGAAAGGGCATGATGGTACTAGGAGCACGGGAAAATGGCAAGACTGTAGTGGACGATGATGTGGAATATGGCTGGGGCAGTGACGACGAAATCGACGACGGCGACGGCGGCAACAAACGTCATCCAGCAGGGCCCTCGTGGGTCTATCATTTCAGGAAATCTTCGAACGGTCGCGCGGTAGTATTTGGCTCGTCGTGGACGCATGCTGGAAGCCCCTCGGGCAATCATGGAGGACACAAGTCAAAAAAACGTTTCGGGCGATGTCGGGCCGCTCTTGTGGCGTATTGGGCCCCTGTTGCGGCCGTAGCGGGGGCCGCGCGGACTTTCCTGTAGCCTTCCCTGGGCACTAGCGGCAATTGGGGGTGCCATTTTGGAGCCACGTTGGAGGCGATCCATGTCAGAACGCGGCCCCTCCTTTCTGGAACTCCAGAGAGTCATGTGTTGTGCCTTCGTGGGGCGCCCTTGGGCGCTCTGAATCGTATTTGGGCCACCTTGGGCCTCGCTGGGGCTCTTTCGGGCTTCCTTGGGACATTAAAAAACCTTTTTTTTCGGAGCCTGCCATACGTGAGCTGGCGAGGAGGAGACGCTAATCAATTTTTCGTGCTGTTTCAAATTGGTTGGCCTCGTGGTGGCCTCGTTGGCCGCGCGGTGGCAGTATGGGGGCCTCTTGGAAACATTTATGAGGCCATCTTGAACCGTGTTTGGGTATGTGAAGCCATGCGGAGGTCATCTGGGAGGGCCAGGGCCATCTTGGATTCATGTTGGGCCGTACTGGAAGATAATAACGGTTTGCGACCCCCCCCGCAGAACAGGGACAAAGGGGCACCTGGAAAAAGGAAACATTTTGCCGAAGGAAAAGAGGGGGGTAAGAAGAGGAAACGCCCCCGACGACTCACCCCCTGAGGCTATGTGGGCTTTCAGGGGCAAGGATTTTGCAATCACGGAGGTCGTGGGATATTTGCTGTGGCAAAAAGCATACACACATTAAACATAGCAGCGCGCATGACATATTGTCGAATCTACCAAAAAACAAGCGGAACAACCCCACAAGACAATTTAAGCAAAACATTGATGTTTTTATGCCGCGCCCGTTTCAGAAAAAAACACATATTTTGTTCAAATTTTGGGGCCATCTGCGACAAGCGTTGCGGCAAAATTGCGACAAGCGGCTCTTGGGAAATCGCTTCGCCAGCGAGGTCGAGACCCGGCGCTGCAGGAACCGCCGCGGCAAAAAAACATCAATGAAAAAACACAGCTTGCAACAACTGAGCGGCGAGCGCTGCGACAACCAGCGCACCAACCGAGATTTAGGCAGCCGACGGGGCCGCAGCAAAAAAACACAAATAAATCACCCAATAATCCAGAGGCCGAAACACGCACAGCGGCACAGCCCGCATCAACGCTGCACCAATATTTTGATTTCCCGCCTGTAGCAGGCAGGCCCATCGTAAGCACATCCCTTGTGTTTTGAACCCTGACCTTAGGGATCTGCGTGAGGGGTGCCGCCGAATTTTAGACATGTGGCAAATCCCTTGTGTTTTTTGGACCCTGACCCTGCCGATCTGCGTGAGGGGTGCCGCCGAGTTTCAGAAACGTGGCAAATCCCGTGTGTGTTTTGGACCCTGACCCTGCCGATCTGCGTGAGGGGTGCCACCGAATTTCAGACATGTCGCAAATCCGATGTGTTTTTGGACCCTGACCCCGCCGATCTGCATGAGGGGTGTTACCGAATTTCAGTAATGTGGCAAATCCCTTGTGTTTTTGTAGCCTGACCTTGCCGATCTGCGTGAGGGGTGCCAGCAAATTTCATAAATGTGGCAAATCCCATGTGTTTTTGGACCCTGACCCCGCCGATCTGCGTGAGGGGTGCCACCGAATTTCAGAAATGTAGCAAATCCCATGTGTTTTTGGACCCTGACCCCGCCGATCTGCGTGAGGGTTATGAATTTTTACCCACCCTCGCCATTCAGAGGGCACGCACGCTCAGGGCGTGGTAGAAATGCCCGTTTTGGGCCTCCCCCCTCGCGCGGTCCATCAACAAGGAACAGTAAGCAGCAAGAAGCAGATTTGTAACAGTGGAAACTGGAAGCTGCAACTGGCACAGGAAACTGCGAAGCTTAGGCCTACAGCCTGGTGGCCCCACAAGGGGGCCGGCGGATTTTCGACCTCTAGGGGCCTTTACCGGGCCTCCCAAAAATCCTCCCTGGTCCCGAAGGGGGACGTAGGGGGTATATTCGGGATCCACCGCCCACTGGGGCATCAGGACCCCCCCCTGGCGCCCGCATACTGGTTTCTCCAAACCCATCTCGGGCGTCTCCTC